TTTAAATAAAAAGATATGACAAACAAGTCATCCCTGCAGTCCACCACGGCTAGCTAATTTTTGTAGAGATGGGGTTTCGCCATATTGGCCAGGCTGGTCCTTCCCTTTCTTCTTTTTTTTTTTTGAGACAGAGCTTTGCTTTGTTACCCAGGCTGGAGTGTAGTGGTGGGATCTCAGCTCACTGCAACCTCTGCCTCCCAGGTTCAAGCAATTCTCCTGCCTCCTGAGTAGGTGGGATTATAGGTGCTGGGATTATAGGTGCCCACCACTACACCCAGCAATTTTTGTATTTTAGTAGAGATGGGGTTTCGCCATATTGGCCAGGCTGGTCTTGAACTCCTGACCTCGTGATCCACCTGCTTCAGCCTCCCAAAGTGTTGGGATTACAGGTGTGAGCCACCGCGCCCAGCTTCTTTTTTCTTTTCCTTTCCTTTCCTTTTCTTTCTTTTTTTTTTTTAAGACAGAGGTTTGCTCTTGTTGTCCAGGCTGGAGTGCAATGTCGTGATCTCAACTCTCTGCAACCTCTGCCTCCAGGGTTAAAGGGATTTTCCTCCCTCAGCCTCCTGAGTAGCTGGGATTACAGGCACCTGCCACCATGCCCAACTGTTTTGTTTTGTTTTTTTTTTTTTTTGTATTTTAGTAGAATTGGGGTTTCACCATGTTAGCCAGGCTGGTCTCTAACTCCTGACCTCAGGTGATCGCCCACCTCGGCCTCCCAAAGTGTTGGTATTACAGGCATGAAGTACTGCACCTGGCCCTCTTTCTTTCTTTCTTTCTTTTTTTTTTTGAGCCAAGATCTTACTTTGTTGCCCAGGCTGGAGTGCAGAAGTATAAAAAATAGTTCTTTTTTGTTTATATTATCTCTTATTTATTTATTTATTTATTTTGAGATGGAGTCTTGCTCTGTTACCCAGACTGTAGTGCAGTGGCATGATCTCGGTTCACTGCAGTCTCAGCCTCCCGGGTGCAAGCCATTCTCCTGACTCAGCCTCACAAGTAGCTGGGATTACAGGCACCTGCCACCAAGCCCAGCTAATTTTTGCATTCTTAGTAGAGACGGGGTTTCATCATATTGGCCAGGCTGAGTCTTGAACTATTGATCTACTGATCCTCCCGCCTCAACCTCCCAAAGTGCTGGGATTACAGGCATGAGCCACCGCACCTGGCTTTTAAAAAATATTTTCTTAAATTTTTTGTCATTGTAGTTTTTATATCTTGATCCCCCAGAAAAGTTATTTCTATATCATAGAAACTCATGCTTTTCTGGCTAGTATGTTACAAATAGTTTTTTCTGAATCTACTTTTAAATTATATATGGTATTTATTGTTATAAAAAGAAAGGTTTGTTTTTGTTTTTGAGATGCAGTCTAGCTGTGTCACCAAGGTTGGAATGCAATGGTGCAATCTCGGCTCACTGCAACCTCCACTTCTTGGGTTCAAGTGAATCTCCTGCCTTAGCCTCCCAAGTGACTGGGATTACAGGAGTGTGCCACCACTCCCGACTAATTGTGTGTGTGTGTGTGTGGTTTTTTTTTTTTTTTGAGACAGAGTCTCATTCTGTCACCCAGGCTCAAGTGCAGTGGCATGATCACAGCTCACTGGAACCTTTGCTTCCCAGGTTCAAGTCATTCGCTTGCCTCGGCCTCCCGAGTAACTGGGATTACAGGCGCGTGGCACCATGCCTGGCCAATGTTTGTATTTTCAGTTGAGATGGGGTTTCACCATGTTGGCCAGGCTGATCTTGAACTTCTGACCCAGGTGATCCACCCACCTCAGCATCCCAATGTTTTAGGATTACACGAGTGAGCCACTGTGCCTGGCCTATGAGAATCTCTTGAACCCGGGAGATGGAAGTTGCAGTGAACCAAGAATGTGACACTGCACTCTATCCTGGGCAATGGAGCCAGATTCTGAGAAAAAAAGAGAGAAAGGAGATAAAGCAGAGAGAGGAGAGAGGAGAAAGGAGAGAAGAGAGGAAAAAGGAGAGAAGAGAGGAGAAAGGAGAGAGAAAAGGAGAGGAGAGAAAAGAAAAGAAGGGAGGGAGGAAAGAAGGGAAGGAGGGAAAGAAAAGAAAGAAAAAAGGAAGGGAGGGAGGGAGGGAAGGATGGATTAGATTATAAATGGGTGTCACCTAGCATGTGTTTTTGTAAAAAAAAAAATCACCTTTTCCAAAACAAAATTTAGTAAACCGAATGCCACTGTTTTACATTTTGCAAATTCTTTTAAATGCCTGACCTAATAGAAGACCACTGGATTGTCATATCTGCTTGTGTTCAAACTGCAGCAAAATGTAATGGATGAACTACATGAAGAAAATCTAGCCTTATATATGTATGGATACATACATATATACTTCTTTCTTTTGAGACAGGGTTGCTTAGGCTGGAGGGCAGAGGCACAGTCTCGGCTCACTGCGGCCTTTACCTCCCAGTCTCAAGTGATCCTCCCACTTCAGCCCCACCAGTAGCTGGGACTATAGGTGTGTGCCACCACACCTGGCTAGTGTTTCAATGTTTTGTAGAGATGGATTTTTGCCATGTTGCCCAGGCTTGCCCTCCTAAAGCAATCCAACCTTGCAGAGATCTTTTACTCTTTCATGATTTTGTAATATTTGAAAATATTGCTAGGCATAGTAGCTCATGCCTGTAATCCCAACACTTTGGGAGGCCGAGGTGGGCGGATCACCTGAGTTCGGGAGTTTGAGACCAACCTGACCAACATGGGGAAATCCTGTCTCTGCTAAAAAAAAAAAAATACAAAAAATACAAAAATTAGCTGGGTGTGGTGGTGCATACCTATAAACCCAGCTACTTGGGAGGCTGAGGCAGGAGAATGGCTTGAACCCAGAAAGCAGAGGTTGCAGTGAACTGAGATCCTGTCATTGCACTCAAGCCTGGGCAACAAGAATGAAATGTCATCTCAAAAAAAAAAAAAAAGAAAGAAAATATTGCTGGGCACGGTGGCTCACACCTGTAATCCCAGCACTTCGGGAGGCTGAGGCAGGTGGATCACCTGATGTCAGGAGTTCAAGATCAGCCTGATCAACATGGTGAAACCCCATCTCTACTACAAATACAAAACTTAGCCAGGTGTGGTGATGCCTGCCTATAGTTCCAGCTACTTGGGGGGCTGAGTCAAGAGAATCACTTGAACCCAGGAGGCAGAGGTTGCAGTGAGCCAAGACTGTGCCATTGCACTCCAGCCTGTGACAGAGCAAGACCCTGTCTCCAAAAAAAAAAAAAAGAAAGAAAATATTGGCCAGGCACGGTGGCTCATGCCTGCAATCCCAGCACTTTGGGAGACAAAGGCAGGCTGATCACCTGAGACCAGGAGTTCAAAACCAACTTGACCAACATGGAGAAACCCCATCGCTACTAAAAATACAAAATTAGCTAGGTGTCATGGTGCATGCATGTAGTCCCAGCTACTCCGAAGGCTTGAACCCAGGAGGCAGAGATCACTTGAACCCAGGAGGCAGAAGTTGCCGTGAGTCGTGATGGCGCAGTTGCACTCAAGCCTGGGCAACAAGAGCAGAACTCCGTCTTAAAAAAAAAATTATATTGGTTCACTGAGTGATGCAGGTCTTCCAAAATGTTGAGACTTCATTATACAGATGCTCATTGACTGCCTTAGGATGCAGCTACAATCACATAAACCCATTATAAATGGAAAATATTATAAATTTGGGGAGGCATGGTGGCTTATGCCTGGAATAGATATATATGAAACTACTGTAAGTCAAAATACACCTAAGCTTCCACAAAAAAAAAAGAAAATACACCTAAGCTAGCAAACATATATCTTGACTAGCCTACATTAAACATGTTCAAAACACTTACATTAGCCTACAGTTGGGCAAAATCATCTAACACAAAGCTTATTTTACAATAAAGTGTTGAATGCCTCATAGAATACTGTAATGAAAGTGAAACAGAATGGCTGTAAGGGTATTCAAATTAGGGTTTCTGCTGAATGAGTATTGCTTTCACACCATTATAAAGTGGAAAAATCATAAGTTGAACCATCATAAGTTCAGGACTGTCTGTCCAATAAACATAAATAAAACCACATTATAGGCTGGGCAAGGTAGCTCATACCTGTAATCCCAACACTTTGGAAGGCCGAGGCAGGTGGATCACCTGAGGTCAGGAGTTCAAGACCAGCCTAGCCAACATGGTGAAACGCTGTCTCTACTAAAATTAGCCAGGTGCGGTGTCATGCACCTGTAGTCCCAGCTACTGGGTAGTGGTGACAGAAGAATCACTTGAACTTGGGAGAAGGAGGTTGCAGTTACTCAAGATTGTGCCATTGCACTCCAGTCTGGGCAATAGAGCGAGACTCTGTCTCAAAAAAAAAACCAAATATATATATATATATATATATATACGTATATATATGTATATACACACACCACATTACATAATAACAAAGAATTCACATTTGTTAATACCACCACGGATCTCATCAGAATTTTTTTTCTTTTTTGGGGCAGAATATTTTTTTTTTAAATTTAGATATAGGGTCTTGCTCTGTCCCCCAGACTGGAGTGCAGTGGCACTATCATAGCTCACTGCAGCCTCCAGTTCCTTGACTCAAATGATCCTTCTACCTCAGCCTCTTGTCTCAGCATTCCCTGTAGCTGAAACTACAGGCACACACCACTGTGCTCAGCTTATTTTGTTATTTTTTGTAGAGATGGGGGTCTCACTTTGTTGCCCAGGTTGGACTTGAACTCTTGGCCTCAAGCCATCCTCCCACATTGGCCTCTTGAAGTGCTGAGATTGTAGGCATGAGCCACTGTGCCCAGCCCAGAAAATACTGGAAAACTGTCAAGTTCAAAGTAGTGAACACAAGTTTTCCAAAATTCTAATTTTTGCTTGAAGGTTAAAAAAATTTTTTTTTCTTGATGGCAATATTTTTCTTTACATAATCCATCTAAACACAATGAAGTGTGGAAGGCCAAAAGGAGAAAAAAACACTTCAGATTATCAAAACCAAAAGAGATGTGAAAAAATAATACATTTAACAGTGTAGGGGGAGGGAATTTAAATACAAGATCCTGTTGAAAATATTGATATTCAAGAAACAAACAGCTTTGGATCCATAGCCACGAGTTAGGTTTTCCTAAATTAAAATCAGAAGTGACTTTATTTTTGGAAGATACATTAATTCTTTGAAGTCAGATATGAGGCTTGACAATTTAATTTCTATATGTGACTGAATAGTCAAAGGATCAAATACAAACAGTAGCGCAGCAAGAAAATAAATTGGAAGAAATAATTTTTCAACAAGTAGTAATAATTAAGACCACCATTTAAAAATTTTCTATACACAAAGAATGAGAAAATATTGTTATAAGATTTTATACAATTAACTCAACCCTAATTTATTATTATTATACTTCTTTCTTCTTCAGTATTAGTGGACCCGCATTATCCCCTGTCAATTCATGGTGTTTATTATGTGAACCATCGCAGGCAGGAAACGGTTTAGAACGCCGACACCTACAATAAGCTGCTTTGGTAAGACACAAATCTTCAATGTTTATTTCATTCACTACTTTCGGATTTTCCTTTTGTATTTTAAGATTAATCAAGCTATCCTTCGTTGTTTTTTCTTCGGGAGGAATGGACGAACTGCAAGGTAGCCAAGAAGTGCAAGTACACCAAGGAAAGGCAATAACCGAAGCCATTCTGAAACTGTGAGTCTCGCGAACCCGGTAATACTTTCGGGGACTGGGAGCCGCTTCAGATATGCGGGGAGCTGCACCTTCACAATGCGGGCCACGCTCTCCAGCACCATCCTGGCCAGCAGTGTCCACTCGTCTCCGGAGCCCCCTCCGCTCTGGTCAAGCCGCAGGGCCTGCGCCGACAGCGGAAGCGCGAAGGTTAAAATTTTTATAACTGGCAACAAATATTGTCAATAGTTTTTCTTGAAGTGGTAATGTTCTCCTGGTTAAAGAATGTATGTACCAAACACCCAAGTCTATTTCAAGTAAAAAATGGTGTTCCATGAAGAAAGCAGTTAGTTCAGTTTGCAATTCAAACAGTTACATAACTATCTACTTTTATTTTTTTTTGAGACTGAGTCTTGCTCTGTCTCCCAGGCTGGAGTGCAGTGGCACAATCTCAGCTCACTGCAACCTCTGCCTCCCAGGTTCAAGCAATTCTCCTGCCTCAGCCTCCAGAGTAACTGGGACTACAGATGCATACCACTTACTTTGTTTAGTAGAGACAGGGTTTCACCATGTTGGCTAGGCTGGGCTTGAACTCCTGACCTCAAGTGATCTGTCTTCCTCCGCCTCCCAAAGTGTTGAAATTACAGGCATGAGCCACTATGCATGGACCGACAGCTATCTACTTTGGTATGCAGCAGAAATGCTTCATATCTACTTCCCATTTCATTACAGTGTGTGTGTGTGTGTGTGTGTGTGTGTGTGTGTGTGTGTGTGTGTATTCAATGTTACAAAGTTGAACATTGGAAATTATCATGTTTTATTCTTTCTTTCTTTGTTGAGACAGAGTCTTGCTCTGTCACATAGGCTGGAGTGCAGTGGCGCCATCTCAGCTCACTGCAACCCCTGTCTCCCATGTTCAAGCGATTCTCCTGCCTCAGCCTCCTGAGTAGTTGGGACTATAGGCATGTGCCACTATACGTGGCTAATTTCTGTATTTTTAGTAGAGATGGGCTTTCACCATGTTGGCTAGGATGGTCTCAATCTCCTAACCTCATGATCCACCCGCCTGGGTCCCCCAAAGTGCTGGGATTATAGGCGTGAGCCACCATGCCAGGCCTAAGTTTTATTATTTCATCACAGGACTCTTAATTGAAACTGGCTTAAAAATAAAATAAAATAAAACTGGCCAGGCGCAGTGGCTCACGCCTGTAATCCCAGCACTTTGGGAGGCTGAGGTGGGTGGATTTTGGGAGGTTAAGAGATTGAGACCATCCTGGTCAACATGGTGAAACCTTGTCTCTACTAAAAATACAAAAAATTAGCTGGGCATAGTGGCGCGTGCCTGTAATCCCAGCTACTCAGGAGGCTGAGGCAGGAGAATTGCCTGAACCCAGGAGGCGGAGGTTGTGGTGAGCCGAGATCGCGCCATTGCACTCCAGCCTGGGTAACAAGAGCGAAACTCTGTCTCAAAAAAAAAAAAACAAAAAAACCCCTGTGATTATGTGTTGGTGAAGAATACAATGGAGACTTCCTTGATTCCTAATTAATACCAAGAAACTGGCAGTCCTTCCTTCCTTCCTTCCTTCCTTCCTTCCTTCCTTCCTTCCTTCCTTCCTTCCTTCCTTCCTTTCTTCCTTCTTCTCTTCTCTTTCTTCCTCCCCTCCCCTCCCCTCCCCTCCCCTCCCCTCCCCTCCCCTCCCCTCCCTTCCCCTCCCCTCCCCTCCCTTCCCCTCCCTTCCCTTCCCTTCCCTTCCCTTCCCTTCCCTTCCCTTCCCTTCCCTTCCCTCTCTTTCTTTCTTTCTTTCCTGACAAGGTCTTTCTCTGTTGACCAGGCTAGAGTGCAATGGCACGTCCTCAGCTCCCTGCAGCCTCTGCCTCTGGGTTCAAGCAATTCTCCTGCCTCACCTTCCTGAGTAGCTGGGATTACAGGCACTCGTCACCAAGCTTAGCTAATTTTTGCATTTTTAGTAGAGATGGGGTTTTACCATGTTGGCCAGGCTGGTCTTGAACTCCTGACCTCAGGTTATCTGCCTGCCTCAGTCTCCCAAAATGCTGGGATTACAGATTGAGCCACCACGCTCAGCCTCCTTAATTTCTTTTGTACCTGTCAGTGCAGATGTCAACACAGTGAAAAGGCAAATTACATCTTGATACTGTGAAAGCTGAACATACAAATTGAGTCATTCTTGTCATACTCAACTAAGAGTAAAAGAGGCCAGAGGGAAAAAGCTTTCAGGGCACATAACATTGATCCAAAAATGTAGTTCTCTGCATGTCCAGTTGCTGAAGAAACTGCCTGTTGTAACTTGAGGCCAGTCTTATCTCATAGCTGCTGAAACAACCTGCTGCCTCTCTAAGGCTAATTTTACCCACCATATCTGCTCACTAATTGTATCTTGTTAGCTCTCTGAAACTTTATTAATATCAATGAAATTTATTTAAAATCAACACATAACATTTATCTTTTTTGTAAAACCCCCAAACCTCTCTTTGTTTTTTGGACACACTAAAAACCACCTAGTCTATATATGCCCCAAGTTGCCATTCTTGCTTCCCAAATAAGATGTTAAATTTAGAGATTCATTGTTACATCTTTTTTTTTTTTTGAGACAGGGTTTCACCATCTTGGCCAGGCCGGTCTCGAACTCCTGACCTCGTGCTCCACCTGCCTTGACCTCCCAAAGTTCTGGGATTACAGGTGTGAGCCACCGCGCCCGGTCTCATCGCTACATCTTTATTGTGACTTTGACAGTAACACTATAAAATACTTTTGACTCTGAAGACCTTCAGGAAATGTCATGTGGGTCATACTCTGAGAGCCACTGCTCTAGCCTTGTTATTGGGGGTATGACACTTCTGGGACCTCTACTGGATGCTTTGGTTATCCTACAGTCTCTCCACTGCTGGCTAATGTGAGCTCTGGGAACCTTTCGGTTTATGACTGGAATAGCTTGCAGGGGGTTTTGCGTTTTGTTACTGAATTTCACCCTACAGTTTTATAGCTTAGTATTCAGCCTCTTAAAAGAAAAACTTCAGGCAAAATTAAACTTAACAGAGTTTATTTGAGCAAAGAACAGTTAATAAATTGGGCAGCACTTAGAACCAGAAGAGGTTCAAAGAACTTGCCTCTGCAACATGGGTAGCGAGTGTTTATAGACGGAAAATAGAAGTAAACTACGGAAGTAACCTAAGGGGTTAGCCTTGTTTAAACATGGTCCCATCAGTTGGCTGCCCGTGATTGACTGAAACCTGGCTGCTTATGATTAGCTGAAACCTGATTATCTTTTACAAAAAATATACTCCTAAATTAGGTTTAAATTCCTTTATGGACTAAATTAGGTCACAGTTCAATATGTAGGAACTTGAAGTATGGAGACAGCCTCAGGCCAGTGGCCTCTTGCTTATTTATTTTAATAAGCCAGTCCAGGTGTGGTGGCTCATGCCTGCAATCCCAGCACTTTGGGAGGCCAAAGCAAGTGAATTGCTTGAGGCCAGGAGTTCAAAACCAGACTGGCCAACACGGTGAAACCCGATCTCCAATAAAAGTACAAAAATGAGGGTGGGCACGGTGGCTCATGCTTATAATCCCAGGACTTTGAGAGGCTGAGGCGGGCAGGTCACCTGAGGTCAAGAGTTCGAGACCAGCCTGACCAACATGGAGAAACCCTGTCTCTACTAAAAATACAAAATTAGCCAGGCATGGTGGTACATGCCTGTAATTCCAGCTACTCAGGAGGTTGAGTCAGGAGGAGAATTGCTTGAACCGAGGAGGTGGAGGTTGCAGTGAGCTGAGATCATGCTATTGCACTCCAGCCTGGGCAACAAGAGCAAAACTCTGACTCAAAAAACAAACGAACAAAAACCCAAAAATTATGTCCAGGTGCTGTGGCTCATGCCTGTAATCCCAGCACTTTGAAAGTCTGAGGTGGGCAGATCACTTGAGGTCAGGGGTTCAAGACCAGCCTGGCCAACATAGTGAAATCTGGTCTCCACTCAAAATAAAAAATTTAGCTGGGTGTGGTGTGGTGGCATGTGCCTGTAGTCCCAGCTACTTGGGAGGCTGAGGCATAGAATCACTTGAACCCATGAGGTGGAGGTTGCGATGAGCCGAGATCATGCCACTGCACTCCAGCTTGGGCGACAGAGACAGACTCAGTCTCAAAACAAACAAACAAATAAAAACACAAAAATTAGCCGGGTGTGGTGGCGCATGCCTGTAATCCCAGCTACTCAGGAGGCAGAGGCAGGAGAATCACTTGAATGCAGGAGGCAGAAGTACAATGAGCAGAGAAACTGCTGCTGCACTCCAGCCTTGGCGACAGAGTGAAACTCTGCCTCAAAAAAAAAAAAAAAAAAAAATCAATAAGCCAAAGACTCAAGGCGGTCCCTATCTGGATTTCTACAGCTTTTTCATTGTATAGCTAGCTCCCTCCTCTCTGGTATTCTGCCCCATGCATTCTGGCTCCCTCAGTTCCTCTGAATCCTTTTTCTGTTCCCTCAAGTCAGCAAGTTTGCTGTGGTCTCATAGATACCATCTTCCTTTTTATTTAATTTAATTAATTTATTTAAAGACAGGGTTTCACCATGTTGGTCAGTGGTCAGGCTGGTCTCGAGCTCCCGACCTCAGGTGATCCATCTGCCTCAGCTTCCCAAAGTGCTGGGAATACAGGCCTGAGCCATAGCACCTGGCCCAGACACCATCTTCCTATGTCTCACCCTGGAAAGGCTCTCCAGGCAGAAAGCCTGTTTCTCTTGTCCCCAGGATCCGGGTCCTGTGCTGCTTGTTGCCTCCTGTCTAAAAACAGCCGTTTCACATATGTATCCAGTTTTCTTTTTTTTTTTTTGAGACAGAGTCCTGCTCTGTCACCCAGGCTTGGAGTGCAGTGGAGTGATCTTGGCTCACTGAATCCTGTGCCCCCGGGTGGTGATTCTCCTGTCTCAGCCTCGTGAGTAGCTGGCACTACAGTGTACAGGTGCACACCACCACACTTGGCTAATTTTTAAATTTTTATTAGAGATGGGTTTTCCCCATGTTAGTCAGGCTGGTCTCGAACTCCTGACCTCGGGTTATCCATCTGCCTCAGCCTCCCAGAGTGTTGGGATTATCGGTGTGAGCTGACATGCCCAGCCCCAGTTTTCTGTTTGTTTATGGGGAGGAGGCAAGCCCAATACCAGTTACTCTGACATAGCTGGTATGTGTCTACGGTTTT